TGCCGAACCCTTCTGTCACACCTAAAGCTTTGCTACTCGAAGTTTATAAGAAGACCCCAGCCTTTGCGATTAACTTAAAACGTCCTTTAACCTGTCCACAGCTTATGCTAATTGGCATTGAACGTTATTAGACACAACTTTTGGTTTACGACATGTGTGAAAATGTCTCTATTCTCTTTCCAGTGTTTACTAAGCTCACTCAATTCTCTATACGTTGTGTTTTGCACCTCAATCGCCCCAAGGCAAAACGACTTATGAAAAGTTCATCGTGTTTCTATTGCACGTGAGGAAATATAATGGAAGGAAGATCATCACATTGAAGAAATAGGAGGATTCATGAACTCGACTTGAAAAGGAGCCAGAACATATAACACTTTCACAGTCTCCACTTATCAACGGGTATCGTCCTAACACCGATAAAGAACTGGTTCAAAGATAAATATAGAAGCATCATTGTGCATCATCTTATCTTCAGGACAAAAAATGCAGTGATCTATAGAGTCACACAATAGCTGTTCGGGAAAATCACTAAAACATAGCAAACCACGATAAGTATTATTGCACATTCAAAATGCACTTTCAAGAGTAGTGCAAAGAGCCTCCTTGAGATGAATGGTGACATTGTAAGTCAAAATCTTGGCTGTTGGAGTAAAGACTTTGATTTAATCGCAAAAAGGTTTCCGTGCGCAGAAATATTTTGCAAATAAAAAAAAAATTCCGTAATTTTGAAAAAATTTCATTAATAACTGAATTTGAAATTATGGGTAACGTGAGGCAAGTACAAAAGTAAATCTTCAGTGCCACTAGTCTAAGCCAGGAAAGATACTCAATCCCTGTAGTGGAATGCCTCTGCGAAATCTTGCTACAGGCCTGACTAATAATTTGCGTTGTTTGTCATTATTATTATTATTATTATTATTATTATTATTATTATTATTATTATTATTATTATTACATCGTTTTTCAAAATTTCTCGCTCGTCCGGAGTTTTCAGATATAAATCAACGACAAACGTAAACACATGGTGAGACGTTCTTGCTCCAGTGCACTTAGGTTCCTCTTCAATGAATAAGAGAGAGAACCTTATGTACAATATTGGTGGTTGCTTGCAACACTGCCTTCTGCATTGTTCTTAAGAGCCATTCATTTAGATGGAGTTTCTCTATAATAATCCTCTAATCTTCAGCACAGAGTCCATTAGTTGAAATAACAACGGGTACAATATGTAGCTCTTAATTTGTATAAGTTTTTCAGTTCAACTGAGAGTGGCTGGTATTTTCTTTTCTTTTTTGCAATTGTTGACAGCAGATCATGATGTAATGAGGCTGAGATATCTATTATGATTACCCTGGGAGTAGTTTTGTCGAATACGATAATATCAGGTTTACTTGCTTCCAGTGTATATTGTAACATTGGCAGTTTGCCACAAGAGTTTGGTTCTCTCATTAGACAACACTTGCTCCGGTAGATATTTGTAATAAGGCTAGCTGTACTTTATCAGATCCGATCTTTTGGCAAGAGCTTGGTGGATGATTGTGGCCATATTATTATAACGTTGTAAATAATCTGTTTGTGCCATCTTAGAACATCCACTGTAGATTGTTGAATAGAAGAAGAACACATCTTCAGTGGTCTTCTTACACAGGCGACACTTGTCACGGATTCTCTCTTTCATGATATATCGCCTGTAGTTATTAGTGATTACAACTTGATCTTGAATGGCCAGCTTTCAGATGCTCGTCAAGTTTGGTGGCAAAACTGGAGGTGAGAACTAAATTGTTGGTCAATATGTACTAGGTGTATAATTCTCGGAGTAAGACGCATTTCAACCTTTTGGTAACATGAATGTCACACCGAAGGTACAAAATTCTGGCAGCGTAGATGTTCTTTGCAAAATAGTTTGGAATTGACTCGCCAATATACTATGAGTGCATGAGAGATATTTCCACCAAACATTATGTATTACATCAACTACTGAAGCTTTCCAATTGTGAGTTCTCTTTGTAGATTCTTTTACATCCTCTGTTGAAATTACAACTCCATTAATTTACGGGATAATGTGACACGCCAGTTCTTCCTGTCGTATCAACTTGGCTTCATAAAAATGTTGCTTTAAGGTGGACCAAATTTGAGACCAAAAGTTCGTAGTGGTAGGAGCTCTTGGGGGTGGGTATGTCATTGTCACTGGTACCTCTCGTCTCTAGATATCTAGAAAATCCTTTTTGGTTGTTAGAGAATAGAGAATTTGCATTCTTTCGTCGCGCGGATTCATTATACCTTCTTATTCTTGCCCATAGAGCTACTATTCTTTGTCTTAATCTCTCATCTTCATAAAATAATTAAAGACGTTGTCATTGCCAACGTCTACTGGCTACTGGTAGTCGTTTTTGTGGCTTCCATCCAGCAGACAACTGATGATGATGGCTAAGCCATCGAAAGCTGCTCTTGCATTAAATAATATTGTTGGCAATGGCAACGTCTTTAATTATTTTATGAAAAATGCCAAAGATATCATACCACACACCTATACTCTCATCTTCAACTTTGAGTCTACTTTCCTGGTCTTTTTGTGTTGTTTTTATCTTCAGTCTTCTAAGAATTGAGCGAATTGTTGCGCGAATCTTCTTTGAAATCCCTCTTTTGTCTCTGAAATACTCAGCAATATGAGAGATATCTCGTGTAGCTTGAACAATTTGATTTCCTATTTTTTTAACCAGGCCGGTGGCTTTTGTCTTTCATAAGGCTTCTTATCAAGAGAAGTACCATTTCTCTGCCGTACTTTGTAACCTAGGTGGTGACAGGTAGCAATGTCAGCACAGTGAGACAATCCGGTTACATCTTTAAGAGAAGCTTCTGAGAGGTCTGGGACAATAGTTTGGGTCAATTTGCCAACAATCTCATAGACATTTTGCTGCATTTTTGGCCTTACATCTAATGATATTCCTTGGTAGTGAAGCTTTGTTACCTCATAAATATCTTTACGAAATTTTTTCACCATTATGTTATCACGTTGGGGGATAGAATGCACGTGTTGTTCCTTCTCATGTACGCTTTGATCATGTTCATTTTCATTTTGATTACCTTGCTGTTCTAAAACTACCTCACTTGTTAGTTCTAGTCTCTCTTCCGACATGAGAAGACGTATTTAATTGTCTTGTCCATTGCATGCGTTGGCTTGGATTTCCTGAAGCAGTAGGGGCTTCCCTTGGTTTCCCCAAACTTCTACCTTCTTGCATCTTGCGACGCAATATCGAGATTTGCGGTAGCCCTAGATGGAGCGGCTCCGCACCCTCTTAGTACTTGAGTATCACCGCTTTCCTCCAGCACAAGTAAAACATTTCTTACAGCTGCCCCGGTGCCAGAAACAGCTGCGCGGCCTTGCGAGGGCCGGTCGCCGGCGTGACTTTTCCTTAAAGCACTACTCATAATTCTTCACTGGGGGGGGGGGCAGTATTGGACAAATGGCGAGGGATCCGCTGCCCAGGTCAATTTTTTTAGGGATCGGACAATCCTCAATTTATGAAGATGAACTCGTACGCTTTCTTCGCCAATGAGATTTGATCTTTTGCCATCGAAGCCGTGTCCTCCACACCTGGAACCCTAGGCAGGAGCCCTTGCTAGGTACAGATAAACGGAGCCAGCTGAACCCAGGTTTTTTATTCTCCTTTCCCTATTATTATTATTATTATTATTATTATTATTATTATTATTATTATTAAAGTTTTGAATAATTCCATGACCTTCCGTAGTCCTGATTTGAGAAAATTTAGAATTCGTCCCACCTCTAATTCGAGAAATTTCGTGAAGAAAAGGAAGTGATACTAGGCGTCACCGCCCCGGGTATGGACTGCCCGTCCGCAGGACATCCTACCACTGGCGCGGTCAACTCCGTCTCGGGATCTCAAACCAACCACCACCACCCCTTCTTCAACCCTCGCCCCTCCCCATTTTCTTGCCCGCCCTGCCAACATTTGAATAGCGCGCCGCCCCTACGCCTGGCCTTCAACCCTTCCCCCTCCCTGACCCTCGCGACTTTGCCGGTCTCTGGCGCGCCGCGGCGGGGCGGTGGCCGGGGGGCAGGATGGGGGCCCGGGGTCGGACGGCGTGGTAGGGTCGCGGGACTCAAAAGGGTCGGCGGGCGTGGTCTAAGGGAGCGTGCGGAGGGTCGTGGGGCGTACGTGCAATGGGCGCCGGGGGGCCCTCGGGGAGCGGTGGGAGGCACCCCTTCGACGGGAGAGCGGCAGCTGAGACGGGAGGGCGCGAGCACTGACGAGATACGGGTCGATGAGCGCTGCGATGAATCATCAGTGGGTTGGGTGTGAGGTTGAGAGTGTCACGAGATGGTCAGAATACGGGTGGCCGTTACGGTGCTTATAGTACGAAGGCCGGATAGGAGGCACGAGGGCCGCTATAAATGTTGGTGGCATGCCTGCCGGCGCCCAGGTTGCAAGCGTGGCGCCACCACTAAAGGTACCACTGGGAGTACTGCGCGGGCCTGACTGATCGGATTGGACAACCGACAGGGGGTGGTGGTGGTGGTGCATTTATGCAGTATCAGACGTGGCCGGTCGCTCTACTGAAATGATTGAGCGTCATGAACAGGTCAGACTGCGGAGAGTGGAGAGAGAGTACTACTATGACGGCTGTGAGCTATCTGGCTACTGGGTACGCCGGGTTCATTAGAACGGAGAAAATGAAGTTTTAAGCTAGTGTGACAGAGATAAGAGCCTCCTTCGGGAGGCACGCTATTGTCTGTGAGCGATTCGTTGTAAAGAAGGGTGCTGCATGGTGATAAATATGTAAACGGCAAGAGTTTTGGCCACTTCGCCGCCTGAGCAAGTCACGTGAACCAGGCAATAAGATCCATACGGCAATGATCCAGCTGCCGATGGGAAATTCTGGGGGTAAGTGGCGCGCGTCTATGCAGGCGAGATGGATGCGGCCCTATTGCCGCGACGGGAGGTTGTGCTAACCGGATCCGCGCCTAAGAGCCCACTTACGTCTCTCTTCCAGGCGGCCGCCGCATGGGCCGGGGCCGCCTGACGGGGCCTCCGGGCCGCCCGCCTTCCCCCTCGCCACCCCCCCGGAACCTTGCCCTCGCCCCCGCCCACTTCCGATCTCGCCCACTCCCCGCGGCCCCGCCATCGCCTACCGCTGCACCAATCTGCCCCGACCACGCCCGCGCCTCGTCACCGCCTCCTCCACCTCCCAACGAGGGAGGGGTCGGCCGTGTCGCCTCTGCCAGCGCCGCCGAGCCATTAAGGCCGCCTGTGACGCCGCCTCTCACCGCCGGATGTGGACTTTCTGGCCGGGAAATGTGCGCATGGCGTGGCGCGGGAGCAAAGTGGAATAATTGCTCGACTGCGCGAAGGAAGGGGGTTGTTTTTACCGGCGTATTTATGAGATTTTCTACTCCATATCTCCACATTCACTCGGTGGTGTTGATGATGTCAAGGTAAAATATTTATTGTGAAGAGATGAATGCAATGAAAAAAGGTGAAGAAACCGAATGGTACAGGACGAGGCGGACAGTCATTAACGGTATTCGCGCAAATAATGATTTGCCTCTTCCAACTTCTTCCAATCTTCTTCCCACTCACATTGGAGGAAATGACTTTCGATCTTCGTACAGCGGCGTTTGGCCTCCAGCTTGGCTGCGAGTGGTTCAGAGGGGTCGATAAGGAGTCGAGGACCCTTGAAAGAATTTCCGTTCTAAATAATTAAAAACGCTAATGTTTTCCTAGCATCAATTACCCGTTGTGTGCGGAGCGTAGTATAAATTTACTTTGTTTCTTTACAGAGCAACGGTAGCTCTCAGAATTAAATGACTTTCCCCGAACTTTCTCCCAAACATTGGCCGACTGCTAATGGGGAGCAAGGCTAAATGACGAAGTCTAAGAGTTTCATCTCCTCTCTCTCCCTCCCTCTCTCCTTCCCTATCTCCTTCCCTTTCCCCTCTTCTCTTCTTTTATCCTCTTCTCTCTCCTCTATCTTCTCTATATTCTATGATATGGCGGTTTTGATGCAGGCATCTTCGTCTTTCTTGAATGCGCTAACCTCTTCAATAGCATTTCCTTGAAATTTTGCACTTATAATGGAACTTTGATGAGATAATGGAGATTGGAGATGGAGATTGGAATAATGGAGATTTTCTTCACTGCATAAATTAACCTACCTACATCAGGATAATTTTCGCGAATTTCTACGCGAACTCTGGTATATGTGCAATGCATGTTACATCTATAATTTTATTGTAGAGTAGCTGCAAACCTTGCCAGCTTTCACCATGTAAGGGGCTGCATCAGTGACTAAAAGTAGAACCACTGGCGTAACTACCGTCGGCCCTACAGCTGCAATACCTGGGGCCACCGGACTCAAGGGACCCCAAAAGCAATTTTTTGTCTAACTGAACACACTTGAAAGGTTCCTTCAGAATGAGATTTGTTTATTACCATAAATCGGCCAGTAGAAAGTTTGAATCATGGTAAAAATGCATTATTTATGATGGAAACATTGTGGAAAGACATTATCTCATGATTTGAATTATTTTCAGGACGCAAATATGTTTTCCTCTTTTGTAAATTGACATTCCAGGGTCCCTATTATTTATTACTTAATTTAAAGTTGGACAGTCCCAATAGTGAAGCGTCTGACTCGTAGAAGGTGGTCCAGAAGGAATGATTCCCCTTTGGATATTCGGATCACGTACACTGTTCTGCAAGCTTTATCAAAAATAATCTTAACCAGTGAAAGTGCAACTGAGCGAGCGGATGCAAGCAGCTTAAAAAAAATAAATGGTGGCATTCGAATTTGTATTTCAAGTTGTATTATCATTTTGCATTGCATTGAAAAATTTTGATCGCTCTGTCACATAATCTGCAAATATCTGATTTTGATCTTTGCCAAGCACGGGATTTGATTGAGCAGCTCCCAATCATCAAAAAGATTTTAGATGTTACCTTGACAAGACCAAAACCGGTGCAATTAGCTTGGCTACATGTTGAGATATACAAGTCGAGTTTTGCGAGAAACGTAAAAAACGAAACGACACTTCAATGAACTGTGCGAAGATTTATGTCGGCGAAAAACGATTCAAAGGTAATGTTTACTTCATTTGTTTAGATATTGTGATTAGGTAGCAGATTTATTGGCTTGAATCAAATAATCGATTCGTTTGCCATCTTTCAGCTACAAACTTCGTTGCAGCTTTTAGAAGAAGAACATGCGAATCAATGCCAAAAACAGCGAGAAATATTATGACGACGTAACTGATCATCTGGTCATCCAGCTATTATCCTAGTCTAAGAGATTGAAGTTTGAAGATTCATTCAATCAGAGATTTGTCTAACGTGGTCCTTATGGAGTGCTTCACTCTTTCAGCTAGCTTTTCAGACGCCTGTTCAGAAATCTTCCTGAGTCTAACGATTCCTGTGACGGTCGCGATAACAGAGCGATCTTTTTCAATACTGAAAATTATCAAAAAGTATCTGCGAAATTCGATGGAACATGAGATACTGGTAGACCTTAGCAAATTATACGTATAGAGAAAAGTCACGAACTCGTTAAAAGCGAACATGAGAGACGTTATAGATAAGTTCGTCAAAACGAACGTCAAAAGTCCGCAGGGTCGATTCTGAATTTTGTGATTGAATGTTTAATACAGTTCCTTTCAAATAGTTTTCAGAATGCGTTTTTTCTAGTTGAACTATTTTGGGGGGAAGCCCCAATGAAATTTTTCCGGGGCGCCGGAAGGGAATTGTTGAGTGGTTAGTTCTGTCCAATGTTTCACACAAAATGAGAAATTTATCTTCTGCTCTCTTCTGCTCTGAACCCTATCTTCTCCCCTTAAAACAACCAACAACAACGTTTGAATTAATGTTAAAAATGTCATTGAGTCGACTGCAAGTAAATACGCGAAAAACATCATGAAATAAAAATGATAAAAATAAAACGAAAATACGAAAATGTATGGAAAAGTTTGACCATAATATGAAATATAAATGAAAAATAACTCAAGAATTAGAAAAGAAATGACTGTATATGACCCGCAATTGCTTGAGTTTAGTAATTGTAGATGAGATCCTGTGTAACTCATATTTTTCATGGAAATAATACCAAAAAAAATAAAAAGAAAAGATGGCATGTCATAAACAACAGGGCCTTTGTTATGACTTATGATTTTAGTAGACACGAAACTGTTTAATTTCTAAGTAAGTAATGTTTAAAAGCAAAATTGAATTGAAATATGTTTTATTGATACGGGATATTTACAGTAACGCTGAATATTATTCCGCGCGTTTTATAATACTGAACTAACGTTCACCAATTTATTAAGGTCGCTCAGCTTAGTACAATTATTGTTCGCTTAATTGTTATTAAATGTCTCCTCAAGTTACAGAAACAAGTAAATATTTTGCAGTATAAATTTGAAGATCTGCGATATGAAGTGGCTAAATACTCGTACACTTTTTTTTTCGCAAGGTTGGGGGAGCAGTTGCCCCCTCCCTTTCCCCCCCTGAATCCGGCTACTGGTGATAAGGCGTGTCAATGCGAATGGCGGAGAAAGGAGAAAATATGGGCCTAGAGGGGAGTGAAGTGTATAGAGTATGGATGCGACGCGATGCGAGATCTAGACGGATCGAGGGAGTGGGAGGCTGTGATGGGCGGAGGTGAGTCTGGACAGGAAAGGCAGTCGAGGAGAGGGAGGAAGGGACGGTAGGTGGTGAGTGGGGGCATGGAGAGTGAAGGGAATTCGAAAGGAAAGAGATGATGGAAACAGGACACAAGAGAGGGAGGCAAGAAGAAAGGAAATGCAGCGGGATGGGAGGGAAATGCATGCATGCAAGGAAGGGAGGAGAAGTGTGAAGTGGGTAGACGGAGGAGTGAAGGGGGAAGGGACGGGGCGGGGAGCGTAGCGGGGAGCAACTGCACAAAAATAGCGCGAGGTCTGCTGCTGCCGGGGCGAGCGCGGTGGCTGCGGCGGTGGAATGCGGACGCTGACGTCAGCGGCGCCGCTGCAGCTCCCTGGGCCTCAGCTCTGCACTCGCTTCACTGCACCACACGTTTGCTCTGTGCTGTTCGCTCTTGTTTTCCCTGTTTCCTCTCCTTCTTCTTCTTGTTCTTCTTCTTCTTCTTCTTCTTCTTCTTCTTCTTCGTCTTCGTCTTCTTCTTTTTCTCCTTTTCTTCGCCTTATTTTTCGTCTTCTTTGTCTTCTTCATTTTCGTCTTCTTCTTCGACTTATTCTTCGTCTTCTTCTTCTTTTTCTGGATCAGACATTGTTTATGGGCTCAAGGAAAACGTAATTGCCAAAGGAAGGCAAAAGAAATTGGGTGGAATGGTGAGGAAAGTTTACTGGGCTTTTTGCTGGTTTCGTATAGAACCGCTGTTGATAAAGCTGTTACGAGACGTGAATTGTAGTTATGAACGTCAGCATTAAATAAAATATTTACCCATTAAGTAAATCACTGTTTACAAAAACTACTTACTTATAACTGAAGAGTGAAGAAAACGGTGGTGCATAAAGTGTGTTCCAAAACGAAAATCGTTTAGAGCATAAGAACTTTTGAAAAGCACTGTTCTATTGTAATAAATAAAGCAAACACCGCGGGGAAAAATCGCTGTTTCGGATGACGGATGACGTCCCGTGCAACTTAATTCAATCCGCTCGCCGCCGCGAGTGGAGTTGTTGAAGGTGGCTTGCGACGATCCGTCTTTCCGCGCTTGCATCAATCTATCTTCCTGTCGGCCGCGCGGGATAACATCGATGTTCCGAATGCTCTGAGAAAGTGAAGACGGTGGATCGAAAGGAGCGGACTGCCGAATGGTGTTCATATCTTCGTAATGGCAAGCAGCCGTTTTCAACTCGCGTGTTCTGAGAGTGAGAATTTTTTTTTTCTTGGAGCCTTTTCAAGCCTATTCTCCTTTACATTTCTGAATGTTTACTTGATCACAGATTTAGAAGAACTTGTTATTGTGATTTGATGATGGAGCGCTGGGAGCTAGAAGTAATTTCCAGAAATGTTGATTTTCCAAATTAGTACGGTACGTCTATGATACTCCCATGCATCAGGGGAGGGGGAATACCAGTCATGGCGGTTGCTCCCCAATGCTGTGGGCTCCAATGGGGTAGGATTCGAGCGAGAGCT